CCCTTCACCTACATGACCAGAACTAGAGATTTAAGAAGTCTTGATCTTTTCCGATAAAATCTCATCGGAGATTTGAAGTTCCAAACTACTATTTCATTCTTCGATATCAACCACGAACCCAAACGAAATTGAATCATTTTTCTGGCTAACTTCTTCGATTCCTAACATTGCTGTCATCTTCAATTCATCTTTGATAGCGGATCTGTCTGGAGAGGACAGAGAAAATCATGGGAGACACAGAAAATTGCGAGAGGAATAGGAGGGTAAAATATGAAAATCAAATTTTATCCCACTTAATCCCATGGGGGAGGTGGGTTACGTTTTATTCAATTACCGTAGGATAGGATAAAAGATTGGATACAGTGTATCCCATCTTCTAGTTCTACCAAACATGGGTTACAGCGGGATGAGACTAATTTTTTGTCCCATCCCATGATTTGTCCGGGCTCCGAAATGTACTCTAAAGGAATATTGCATTAACTGATTAACTAACAACAATGGAGGAGAAGAATACTTGTGTTTTAAGAAAGATAAATATAGGGCAATCCTTTATCTTTTCCTCCTCATCACGCATCCCTTTTATCTTTTTCTTCATTCGTTGGACAAGCACCAATCTTCAACCTTCACCTTCTATTGTCTACATGTGTAAATGTTGCTTGTAGCTATTCTCTATCCCCTTCACATTATTCTCCCCTCTTTTCTGCTGTACAGTCTCCAAACATTTCTCTCTTCCAAACTACTGTATCAAATATGGAGGCTAAACTTCTTGGTCCTCTTGTGGATGTCACAATATCTAAGGTGATTTCAGTTACTACTGAGCAACTCAACTTAGCAGTGGGATTCAAGCAGGAACTCAAGAAGTTTCATGTGATGCTGAGAACATTGGGGGGTGTGCTGCAAGATGCTGAACAGAAGAAGGTGACAAGTTACTCTGATCTGCAACCTTGGCTTGAGGAGCTTGGAAATATAGTTGATGAAGCTGACGATGTGGTAGATGAGATTGCATATGAACATCTACGGTACAAGGTAGCTCAAATGTGGGAAAAGGTCAGCTATTTCTTTACTCTTTCCAATCCTTTAGCTTTTTGCCTTAAGATAGCTAACAGGATTAAGAATTTAAATTTAGAACTAGCTGACCTTAATAATGGGGCCACTGGGTTAGGGCTGCAATACAGACTTGCAAGCAAGCATCCTGAACATATAGAAACCCAACAAACAGATTCCTCAATTAGTGATCCATCAAAAATTGTAGGAAGAGAAAATAAGGTCCTAGAAGTCGTTCAATCATTGATTGACTCAAGTAATGATCAATGTCTCCTTGTTGTATCCATAGTGGGTATGGAAGGCATAGGCAAAACTACTGTGGCCAAACTATTATGTAACAATGAGCAAATACGGAGTCATTTTTTCAAAATAATTTGGGTTTGTGTTTCTAAAAATTTTAATTTGAAACGAATTTTAGTAGAAATGTTGCAAGCTTTTGTTGAAAATGTTTCTGTTGATGAAAGTCAAGATATTGTAGTTCAGAAACTACAGGAACATTTGAGGGAGAAAAATTATCTTCTCATATTAGATTATGTGTGGAATGAAGATCGGCAAAAATGGGAATCCTCAAGGAGCTGTTTGTTGGGAATAGGTACAAATGTTGGGAGTAGGGTTCTTGTCACAACTCGAAGTGAAAAAGTAGCTTCCACAATGGGAACACTTTCTGAGCACAAGCATCATCTCGAGAAGCTAACAGATGAGGATTGTTGGTCCATAATCAAGAAAAGAGCATTTGTTAGCTCATCATTCCCTCCAGAATTGGAGAGGATTGGAAGGGATATTGGTAGCAAATGTAGAGGTTTAGCATTAGTTGCATATGTTATTGGAGGGAGTTTGTGCAATAATAGCAAAAAGGATGACTGGTTATCAATTAAAGATAGTAGTGAAGAATGAGGTTCAAAGAAGAAGCTAATGGAGTTTTACGTGTGCTACAGTTGAGTTTCAATCGCTTGCCAACACCTGCTTTGAAACAATGTTTTGCTTTTTGCTCTATTTTCCCTAAAGATTCTGTCATGGAAAAGGAGATGTTAATGCAGCTTTGGATGGCTGAAGGATTTCTTCAGCCTCTTAGTGAAAGATACATGGAGATGGAGGATATTGGTGATAGGTATTTCAATTCATTGTCATCATATTCTTTATTTCAAGATGCTGAAAGAGATTCTTATGGGAGCATTATTGCTTGCAAAATGCATGATTTAGTTCATGATCTTGCACAATTTGTTTCAAAGTCCCAAACTTTGATTTTGGAAGATGGCAGTGGAAGGAATATTCCTGCAGACATTCGACATTTAAATGTCATTTCTGATAAGGGTACGGCAGCAACAAGATTTGGGGATGCCACTAAATTATTGCACACTTTGTTTTCACAAGTTGATGTCTTTCACAGTATGTCCATGAACTTGAGAAGGTGCGGCTTCTTAGTTTTTGGGGTGCTAATATTGATAAGTTGCCAGCTTTTTTGGGGAAAATGAAACATTTAAGGTTCTTGGATGTTTCAAGAACTGGAATCAAAGAACTTCCCAAGTTTATCACTAGGCTCTATCAATTGCAGACATTTAGATTTATGGATTGCTGGAAAATCAATGGGCCTTTGGAAGGAATATGGGATTTAGTAAATTTGAGACACATTTATTTCAATCAGTGGGAACTTATGCCAGCAGGGATTGGTAGACTAACTTGTTTGAAAACATTACAATTATTTGTTGTGGGACAACAGAAGGGACATCAAATTGAAGAATTGCGATGTTTAAGCCAACTCAAGGGAAAATTACAGATCCGTAATTTGGATATGGTTAGAGGCAAAGAAGAAGCCATGGGAGCAGGACTTTCTGAAAAGGCTACAATTCAGGAGTTGCAATTGGTGTTTGCTAAAAAGCATGCATTTGAGGAGTTGCAATCGGTGCTTGATGTGGGATATACTGGTGTGGGGAATTGAAAAGCATAGGGAAGAGTTTATGTACCTCCACGTGTCTCAAAGAGTTGACTATATGGTACTGTAATGGCCTGACGTCCCTTCCGAGCCTGCACAGGCTTTCCTCTCTTCAAAAAATTGTTGATATATTCAGCTGTGGGACATTGAAAAGCATAGGGAGAGTTCATCTACTGCCACGTGTCTCAAATGGTTGAGCATATCAGGTTGTAATGGTCTAACATCCCTTCTGAGCCTCCATGGGCTTTCATCTCTTCAGACTTTATCGATAATGGGTTGTGGTGGATTAAGAAGTTTCCAAGTGGGTTGCCATCATGCACTGCTCTTGAGGAATTGGCTATCACCAACTGTGATAATCTAATCTCTATTCCAGATGATTTGAGGAGGAGCTGGAGCATCCCTAACCCTGCCTGCCTTGCTTGCCTGAAGCAGCTGACTATTGGTGGTTTCTCAACAGAGCTCAAGGAATTTCCAGATCCGAGCTTCATCGGATCTCATCTTGAAGTATTGACTTTGATTGCATGGGGAGAACCAAGAGAACGTCTGCTGGATCAAATTCAACACCTAACTGCCCTTTGGTATCTCAAAATAAGTGATTTTGATGTACTGGAAGCTTTACCAACTTGGTTTGGAAACTTATCCTCTCTTCAAACTCTGTCAATTTTCAACTGCAAATCTCTGAAACATATGGAAGCCATCTGATGCCTCTCCAGATTAAAAAGCCTTTGGATTAATGGATGCCCTGAGTTAAAGAGAAGATGGGCCAGTGGAAGTGGTTCCGAGTGGGACTACATCTCTCACATTCCACTTATCAACATAGAGGGCAGATGGATCCAACTCAAAGGAGATCCCATTGAGGTATCTTCAGCCTTTAACTTTATATAATACTAAATCTTTTTTCTTTAATTCCCTCTTCTTCCTGATTGATTTCAATTATGCATTTACCTCCTTTCAATCTTTTAGGTACTACTACTAAATCCTTTTTTATTTTTTCAATTTATTTATAGAATGTAGCAACTAAAAACAAATTTATTATCTACTACTATTATTACCTACAATTCAAAAGCAAATTAAGTTGATAATTTCTTTTCCCTTCATTGTGTAATTTAAAGTTTTAAAATGTTATACTAATAATTTCTCTATTCAAATGCTCTACTACCATTCTAAATTCCTTGTTGGTTGCATCAGTATGAGGATAATGAGCAGCAGGGTGATGATAATGAGCAATTACCAGCACGGGCTACAAGGTTGAGACGCTTCATTTGTTGTAGAAACTAATAAAACAGAAAGTAAAACAAGATTCAAAAGTTGAAGGCAGGCATCATGGCTTGGTAGCCAACCCAGACCACAGACTTCAATGCTGATTGTGAGGTTGGATTTTGTTTGCCAAATTAAAACCTATTATGCAATTGGTATAGAGTAGCATCAAAGTTTTACCACTGAACTAATTAGTCTTATTCTACTAGTGCATCACTTCTTCCTTCTACCAACTTAACTATGAAGAAGGTTGTTGCTGATTTTTTTAAAATTTGTAAGTTTGGTCCTTCCAATCATTTTTACCTTCTCTTAATGTTCTGTATTTGCTCGTGCAGGATGAAAATAAGATTCAGAGCCAGGCATAAAAGAGGAAACAATTTTAAAAAATAAAGTTGCTCAAACAAGTATTGTGAATGCATGCAGGCCTGTCAAATGTCAATCATCTCATTCTGTATAAGATTTACTTATCTGATGTGTAGATAATGTTTGTTGTGTAAAAAGGCTGCATCATTTTGCAGGCTTCTAGTTCTTCAAATTAATCTGCGAGCAATCAGCCTCTAAAACCTTATGTGATGTTGGTGACACCATGCCAAAAAGCCAAAGAGCCAAGCACAACAATCATCTCAAAAACCATGGAGACCTTTTGATTTTTATAAGATCCATACATGAATTCAGGTAAGCTGTGCTTTCTCGTAAACATTTCTTTCAAAATTTGACTGCATCTCTAAGATTTGATGCATTCTGGATTTAAAATTTTGTGAGCCTCATTGTTTTTCACTTTTTTTTTGGTAATGTTATACTTCGGTTAGAGGTATTTTTTTTGGATTAATCAAGTGATTAGTGTTTGACAACTTATAATTTGCATTTGGACTAACTACTTAGTTCCTTCATTGCATTCCTATAACATAACTTCCCATTCCTTAATATATATAGTTGCAGACTTATAATTATAATAGATTTTGAATTCAAACTAAGAATCTGCAACTAAGGGGGATTCAGACTCTGTAGATAGAAGTGGAAAACAGGACAGTGTAATTAACTTTTTAATTTTCTGTTCGTTTAAAACATTGGTTTTTCTTTAATTTTCTAGACTGAGGTTTGTGGTTATGATCCAGATTGTTGGTTGTTATAATTTGTCCACAGGAATGCAAAACATTTACTGGAGTTCCGTTAGGTATTATGGTTTCCATTGGGTTTGATTGCTGTATTTGTAGGCCATTCATTGGCCTTGAAACACCTAGCAAAACGCACATCGAACAAGCAAAAAGCAATTTGGAAGGCACTTTCACCAAGAGAAATTAAGAATGATTCTGGTATGTTCCCTGAGTCTCAAGCATTTAAGCGTGGTCTTTTCATTTTTTATTCTTTTGTTAATTAGTACAATAAGCATGGTCTTATGGTAAAACTAATTAAGATTATTGATTAAAAGTCATTGGACCATAAGAGATTGGCCCTTGGAGCTACTCGATTTCAGTCAGCAGGGAGGACGAGAGCCCCTTATACCTTGAGTAGGCAAATCACTCCTAAATTCAATTGTTTCAAAGAATGGAGCAGATGCAAAGTTGCTTAATGACTTCGAATTTATAGGTCTCTCTCTGGAGAGTTGTCATTGACTAAGCTGTGCCCCAGCTTCCTGGGATATCTCAACCCATGGTGACTCTTAAGGCATGTCTTGAATAGAATTATGATTGAGCTTGAAATTTATTTAAAATAGATATGCTTTTCTTTAATTCTTCTTATTTCTCATTGCCATTATTAATGATACTTTGTGATGCTCGTGTAATTGACATCAAAGTTCTTATGTTTTAACATATAAAGAGCAGGGAATTAAAGATGAAAACAGTAGGAGTCAACCATGACAACCAGTAGCTAACCGTGGAGATCAATGGTATTGTAGACCCAGTGGTGACGAATGTGATTTGCTCAATATGTTTTTTTTCTTTGAAATGGTGATGAAGAGATTTGAACCCACTTTCCAACATAGGTCGCATTTCTCCTGACAATTCAGCCAACACCAGCTGTTTCTTTTGAGCCAGCAACCCAGTGATTATATGGCAAGTCCCAAATGAAGAAATCTCGTAAAGATCAATCAATGCAAGTGGAAGATGCATAAATGTTTAAGGCGAACAAGTGCCATATTCTGTCAAATTACTTGCTAACTAACAAACATGAAATGTGGAAGAAGGCCGAGTTAAACTTGCTAATGCTGTCTTGAATAGTGGATACATTTGCTATTAAGAAAGAGTGTTACGAGATTGGGTGTATTGGGGAGCTTCTATCGAAGCTAGGGTCGAGATTTTTGCAATTGTATCCATTTCTTCACAAAGTAAACTTTCTACTTCGCTCTTCCCGTGAAATTTTGTTCTTGTTCTTCTATTGTTCTTTCATCAATCATCATCTCTCATTGTAATAACTGGAATCAAAATGGTTGGGAACATGAAAGGTGCGCCAAATTGGAAATAATCTATTTACTTCGCAAGAAAAAATTATCTTCAATGAATAAAGATCGTAATGCTCGATGAGCAAGTACAAAATACCTGGATATTTTTCATGAGTAAATATAGGAGCCGAAAGAAACAGTGCAAATTCAGCACTTCGGCTGTAAGGTCAATAATCACAAGAATTGGAAGTACTCATGCTTAGAAAGCCCAACCCAAAACCTCACCCTTCTTGATAGAACGGGCCCAATTTCAGAAAACCTATCCAGAGCAAAAAATTAAATTAAAGAAAATGAAATGTGAGGGAGGAGAAACGGCGCACTTGAATTCGCGGTCAACTGAGTTAAGTATCGAAATGGGTGGAGAGAAATCCATGCGAAAGAGGAAAAAGAAATCCTGAAATTGGAAGAAAAGTTAGTGAAAGAAGAGTAGAGGAGAGAAATGCAGAAAACTAAAGCAGCATTGTAGATGGCTGAGAGAAAGGGTGAAGAAACAAAATAGCGGCAGAAGAAATTTGAAACTCGAATTCGTCGCTGAAAAAGGTACATTTTCTGTTCTAATTTGCTTTCTTTAACTGGATTCATCCTCAGCTGGGTTGCTATATTATTGAATCTGTGCCCATTCTTTTATTTGATGTTTATGCTGCTGTTAGTTTAGAAGGGAAAGTATGCATAATTTTAAAAAAAAAAAATGTTTATAAGTAAAACTGTATATTACAAAAAATATAGTTTAATTTATAAATTTTTTAAAATATTTTAATAAAATTTATTTTTTATATTATTTTGTTAATAATAATTAGAAATTTTCATTATCAGACCTCGTGCCGTCCAACATGTAAAACCTTAATCTCATTTTAGAAAGCATATTATTCCGACACAAGGCCAGTTGAAATGAGTTACATTTAGAGCCACCAAGGAAAATTCAATTAAAAGTCGTTTAATGTCCATATCAGTGCCAACATGGGATTGATATGGACATTACTGGCCAGTGTTCTCTCAAACCCCATTGCAAATGGTAGAGATGAGAGCCATTAAACAGTGGAAGAACGCGAGGCTGCTCTTACTACAGTTAACTATGGTGGTGATCCTTCTCCTCTGTCATGAGCAAGTGAGACTGTTGATTCTATAAAACAGTTGGCAAGCCTTCTACATTGTGGGTTGCTTTTGTTAAGTTGTATGAGAATTGAAAACCATGATGATATAGCTAAGCTCGTAGAATCTTTGATAAGGGAATACAAGTAAGGTGTAACTCTGGATCATCTAGTTAGTGTGTAGTGAGTAAGCAGAAATGGAGTTGAGGCATAACAATTTCACATGGGCACGAAATGAGGCGAGCTGCAGCAGTACCATTAATTAGTGGTGGTCAAGCTAAGAGGTAGTCTTTGTTGTTCCTCACTTTCTAGAGCTTTTCTTATATTTATCCATGCGTTTCTAGTGTTGGTGATTTTTCCAAAGTTGCACCTAAAGGCTGAATCTGATCTTGATTATTGAGCTATCTTTAATACGGACTTAAAGCCTTTAAACCCCTTTAGAACAGAACCGCGCTGTTCTGTCCATCTGATGGGAAAACAAAGGTATATTAAAGGATGTCATAATTTCCGATTTTGTTTTCTTGTCATTTTTTGTTTTATGTCTCGCACTAGATAACCATTCCTTTGCTTTGACTTTGAGTTTAGTGCTTCTGAAGCAAAATTGTAGTGAAATAATTAACCGTTAAGCATCTAATATGCCTTGAAGGTTGTTGTTTTTCTGCTTGCAAGTTGAATTATTATCATAGGTTCTTTCTTTATTAGCTAACAAGTTATTGAGAAATTTGTTGTTAGAGCCTTTGGGGTGGATGAATATTTATTAAACAGTAACTAACATGATTTTTTGTTGTATTATGGTTTATAGTGTGTACTGATGGGAATGAACCTGTTCAGACGAACCAGTCTTATTCTAGGGCTGCATTGCTTCTTTCTTCTGCCAACTCAACGTTGAGAAATGTTAATGCTGACTTTTTTAACATTTGTGAAGTAGGTCTTTCGAAGCATTTTTACCTTCTCTTAATGTTTTGTATTTGCTCGTGCATGGTGAAATTAACAAAAGTCTATATTCAGCCAGGCATAAAAGTGGATACAATTGTAAAAAAAGAATTTGCTCAAAACAAGTATTGCCAGTGCATTCAGGTCTGTCCAGTGTCAATTATTTCATTCTGTATAAGATCTACTTATCTGATGTATAGATTATGTATGCTGTGTATAAAGGATACATCATTTTGCAGGCCTCTGGTTCTTCAAATTAACTTGCAGCAATTAGTCTCTAAAACCCTTATTTCAATCTGGTAGCGGAAGTGATGTTGGTGACACCTTGCTGAAAAGCCAAACTGCCAAGCAAGTATCACATTCATCTGAGCAAACCACGAAGACCTTTTGATTTACACAAGATCCATACATGAATTCAGGTAAGCTATGTGGCGTAGGAGTCGATACCGAAACACCGATTTTGGCGAGATTTAGAATCCTATTACGATAAATTCGATTGCCAAATTCACCACTTAGGTTAGCAAGACCTAAGATACAGAGATAAATTGAGAGGATCCACTCCCAAAAAACTCACTCAAAAGAGGAGAAATATAAACTAAAATTTTGATTAAAACTTGATACGTACAATGGTGATAACATGGCTATTTATAGGCAAAATCTAATGAAGGCAATAAATGAAAAGTGAAAATACAATTGGGAGTTAGCCATCTTTGTGGAATTTAGTGGCCATTTTTGTTGACTTGTGGTCATGTTGACAAAGTTGCACCGGCCTAGTGGTGCTGCAGAGTAGTTTCTGCATGCTTGTTGTTTTTTCCTGGTGCATTCTCCCCTGGTTGGAGAAAACTTGTCCTCGAGTTTGAGTTCAATGCTCATGATCCTCATAGTAAGGAGATAAGTCAGCAACATTAAAAGTAGCAGAGACTCCATGGTCACCTGAAAGTTTGGTCTTGTAGGCACAACCATGTTAGAATCCTTGCTTCGTTGAGTTCGCGGTAATCCATGAGGGGTCTCATCAGGAACAACATTAGAAAATTCTTCAAGGAGAGATCGAATTTCCTCTGGAAAAGGGGAAGTGGCATCATTCACTTTAGATAATAACAAGAGACAAGCTGTCCTCGATTCTTGATGCAACTTCTGAAAGGTTGATCTGGAGATTAAAGCCTTGTCCTCATCCTTCTTTTCAAGTGTCTCTTCAGGCTTCAGGGGAGTAAGCTTGACCTTCACACCATCTTTCACAAACGAGTAAGTGTTGGCATGGCCGTCATGGATAGCCTTTCGGTCAAATTGCCAAGGGCGACCAATTAACAAGTGACAAGCATCCATAGAAATAACATCACACCATACTTCGTCTTAGTACCTGTTACCAATAGAAAAAGAAACAAGGCAACGTTTGGTTACTTTTACCTCGTTTCCCTTTCGTAGCCATTGTAACTTGTATGGATGGGAAAGATCTTCGACTGGCAGTCCTAGCTTCTCAACCATATAACTAGACACAACATTCTCACAACTTCCACTGTCAATGATGACGTTGCAAACTTTCCCCCAAGAAGTACATCTGGTGTGAAAGATGTTATGTCGGAGCCAATCTTCATCCTTGGTTATGGTATCATGAGGACTTCGACGCACAACCAAAGATTCTACATGGTCAGCTGCGATGAGTTCTTCCTCAAGTTGTGGCTCAATCTCATCACTAATCTTCTTTTCTGCTTCACCATCTAAGACTTCATGAATCTCTCCTCCGATAATGGTGATAATTCTCCTATTGGGACAGTCGGAGGCAATGTGGCCAAATCCTTGACACTTAAAACACTTTCGAGTGTTAGGCTGGGCTGGACAACTTGAACTAGCTTCCTTCTCAACTTTGGCAGGTGTCTCAGCAACAATCTTTGAGGCTTGGGTCCCTTGGCTAGCTTCAAAATCTCGTGGTTTTGAAGCAATAATAATATTCTTCTTTGAGATTTGCTTTTCAACCCTCAATGCTAGCCGAATGACATCATCCAAAGTCCAATATTGTTGAAGTTGAACTACTTTGGAAATGTCATTGTCTACTCCTCCAAGATATCTTGCTATGGTTTGCTCTTCTTTTTCTCGGACATCACACTTCATCATTAATTGTTCGAACTCCATAGTATATTCTTCCACAGTCAAAGATTTTTGTTGCAAGTTATGAAATTTAACAAAATTATCTTGGTAGTAACGGTAAAGTAAGAACTTACGAGTGAGCTCCCGACACATTTTCTCCCAAGTTCTAATTTTGCTGCGGCCTTCTCTTTCTCGACTGCGTTTGAGATTCTCCCACCAAATGGATGCATGTTTCTTTAATTTGATGGCGACGAGCTTCACACGCTTGTCGTCAGGAATATCCTTGAGTTCAAACACACGTTCCACAGTGTGCAACCAGTCGATAAATTCATCTGGTTGAAGGCGACCTTCAAAATCTGGAATATCGATTTTAATGCCAAGGTCAGTGGATTTGCGAGCAGCATTTTATTGAGGACGTCGTCGATGACGAACTCTTTCTGTTGATGATGAGCTTTCATCATTCCTTAAGTGATGGAAGGGATTCTTGTCATCAGTATCTTCTTCTGACTCATGTGGTTCATCTTGTGGGTGTTGAGCTTGTTGTCCCTTAAAAGGTTCGAGTCTTTCTTGAAGCCTTTGAATTTGTTGACATAGTTCTTCCATCTCTATGTCCCGAACAGCTCGTTGACGAGGAGGATTTTGTCTTCTAGGAGGCATGATGAGTTTCGGTTGGTAAGGGGCTTTTTGGAAAGTTAGTATTTGAAAGTGGGGGTAATTTGAAATTTATAAAATTGTGGGGTCAATCTGTAAGGTCAAAATAAGTTGAGGGACTTGATGACGTTGTAAAAGAGTGTGGCTGCGGTGATGACGTGTCATTGACGTGGCTGATGACATGTCAAGTGACGTGGCACAAATGACGTGGCAATAGATGATATGGCAGTGATTGGATGATGACGTGGCTGATGGTGTGTCGATGACGTAGTGAATGACGTGGCGAATGAGAGGTTGAAGATGACCGGCGTGTGATTTTCACGCGTTTTGCAGTGGTGCGAGTGGCCGGTGCGTGAGACAACAGCGGTGGCGTGTGTAGGCACGTGATACCTTGTTTGTCGACCGGGTTTTCACCAGAACATTCAAAATGACGTGCAGACTCCAAATATATTGGCTCTGATACCATATGGCGTAGGAGCCAATACCGAAACACCCATTTTGGCGAGATTTAGAATCCCACTACAATGAATTCGATTGCCAGATTCACCACTTAGGTTGGCAAGACCTAAGATACAAAAATAAATTGAGAGGATCCATTCCCAAAAAACTCACTCAAAAGAGGAGACATAAAAACTAAAATTTTGATTGAAATTTAATACGTACAATGGTGATAATATGGTTATTTATAGGCAAAATCTAATGAAGGCAATAAATAAAAAGTGAAAATACAGTTAGGAGTTAACCATCTTTGTGAAATTTAGTGGCCATTTTTGTTGACTTGTGGCCATGTTGACAAAGTTGCACCGGCCTAGTGGTGCTGCAGAGTAGCTTCTGCATGCTTGTTGTTTTTTCCTGGTGTACTATAGTTTCCCTTAAAAGGGTTTGAAACTTTGGATCTTGAGAAGCAAATTTGGGCATAAGATGTCCAAACCCAAAACCTCAGGCTTCTCCATTTAAACGGGCCCATTTTCAAAAAGCCGATTCGACCCAAGCTAAATTAAATGAAAGGAACAGGACGAGAGATGGGGCAGTTGAATTCGCGGCAAAGAAGAAAAGATGGCATTCTAAATTTTTGAAAATCGAGAATCTGAAAACGTAAGAGAAAAATTCATAAAGAGAATGAAGGGGAACCCTTTATTTTTGCCTTCTCTTCCCGCATCATTTCGACTTATTTGATAGGAAAAGTAACCATATTCCTTTCTTTGGTTAAACAAAAACTTATAGATTAGCAGAGGAAGTATGCTATGGAGGAGGAGAATATTAGGCCAAAGAAATGTAAGGTGCTTCCAAAAAGGAATACTACATTAACTTATCAACAACAATGGAGGAGAAGAATATTTGTGTTTTAAGAAAGATAATACAAAGAGATCCTTTATCTTTTCCTCCTCATCACGCAGCCCTTTTATATTTTGCTTCATTCATTGGACAAGCAACAATCTTCAACCCTCACCTTCTATTGTCTGCATCTATAAATGCTGCCTGTAGCTATTCTCTACCCCCTTCACGTTATTCTCTTCTCTTTTGTGCTGTACAATCTCCAAATATTTCTCTTCCAAACTACTAAATCAAATATGGCTGACCTCGTCTTTGATCCTCTTGTGGATGTCAAAATATCTAAGGTGATTTCGGTTACTACCAAGCAGCTCAACTTAGCAGGAACTCAAGAATTTCCATATGATGCTGAGAATGCTGAGGGGCGTGCTGCAAGATGCTGAATAGAAGAAGGTGACGAGTCACTCTGATCTGCAGCCTTGGTTTGAGGAGCCCGGCAATATAGTTGATGAAGCTGATGATGTGGTAGACGAGATTGCATATGAACACCTACATGTTACAAGGTAGCTCAAATGTGGGAAGAGGTCAGTTATTTCTTTACTCTTTCCATTCCTTTAGCTCTTCGCCTTAAGATAGCTAATAGGATTAAGAATTTAAATATAGAACTGGCTAACCTTAATAATAGGGCCACTTTGGAGATCCATAAAAAATTGTAGGAAGAGAAAATAAGGTCCTTGAAGTCATGCAATCATTGATTGACTCAAGTAATGATCACGAGATCATACTTTTGTTTTTGTTTTTTTTCTTTGTGAGTGGGGGGAGGGGGGGTGGGGGAAGAGAAAGAGGAGCAAACTTATGCAACTTGTAGGAGAATGATGTAAAGATCTGATGTAAAGATCTAATAGCAAGTATATGCCTTAGATCTAACGCTCTAAATTTTTGTGGCAACCTTACTCGAACCTTTGAGGTGCTTTTTGGCTAGCCCCAATTCTTTTTCTCTTGCTGAAGATTCCATCTCACCACACAAGGAAAGGGTGAAAGTTAAGTTCTATTACAGTGTTTTTCCCAAAATTGAAGGAAAAAGGCGAAAGCTAAGTTCTCATTCTCTTCTATGATGTTCTGCCAAAAGTTAAAACCTTTATACATTGCACTTTGTTAAATTAAGGGGGTATGGGAGGGATAGGTAAAACTACCACGGCCAAACTAGTGTGCAACCAGGTGCAAATACGGAGTCATTTTTCTAAAATAATGTGGTTTGTGTTTTTGAAAATTTTAATTTGAAATGGATTTTAGTAGAGATGTTGCAAGCTTTTGTTGAAAATGTTTCTATGGATGTAAGACTTGTAAGTCAAGATATTGAAGTTCAAAAACTACATAAAAATTTGAGGGCGAAAAATAATCTTCTCTTATTAGATTATGCATAGAATGAAGATGGGCAAAAATGGTATGAAATTGAATTGGGTGCAATTCTTTTAATTTGATGTTAATGCTGTTTGTTTAGGGTTCGATTAGAAAGGAAAGGATGCATAAATATTCATTTTTAAAAAATGAAAATACTATAGTTACAATATCACTTGACATTGTAAGCTTACAATGTAATATATTATTATATAATTAATTTTTTTTATTCGAAAGTTCATTTGTAATATGATGCATATTTACACATTTAATGTTACATTATACTTATTTAATACTATAATTCTACATGACAATATAATCATA